TCAATCTTAATGTCACAGCGGATTACAGACGCACGCTGCTCAAGAAAGTGGCTAAGACAACTTTCCGCAAGAAAAAAGAAAATGCTAAAATGCTACACTCAACACTTTGAAACCGTAGTTTATAAGCCACATTAACCACTGTTTATATATGCAGTCTTTTACATAGACTGTAGATAAATGATGCCTATGTCCCTCTTTTATATACAGCCTATTGTATAAATTAGCTTGCCTGAGCCTCCCTGTGACACCCCTAAAGATACCACTCAACCAAACAGCATCCACAAGTTCTAAATGTTAGGCAGCGTGTGTGTGTTTGTGTCGCATTATGATATAACCCCGATGAGCCTTTGCAAAGCTCTGTAGAATTAGTCTTTGTATTTCCCCTCAGCTGCAAATCCCTGTTTAAACAGCTACCAAGCTGAGGCAACCTGCTGCTTGGCCCTCAGCCGGAGCCTCAGACTGTGCATGCGTGCATGCTTTTGAATATGAAAGGAGGGTATTATTACACTGAAGCAATTAATCGGACGAAACTCGCATTAATGGTTTTGATAGCAAAAAGAGGAAAAGAGGAAGCAAACTAAAGGCAGGCTTGTTTGTCTGTTTATCATTAATCCTGCCAATTAATCCTGGATTTAGGCTCTGCAATGTGAGTCAGTTTAAAAAGAAATTAATATTTAATAAAAGTACGATTCATCCAGGAATTTCTTTACATAATACAAAGATTGGAGTGCAGCTCAGACATGGCTAAGCCAGGCAAGCTAATAAAGCAGCATTATCAGGGTGGAGCCAAGAATGGCCAAAAGTTCACTTCTAATCCCAGGCTTTGGACCTTTCTGCAGTTACGTGTCTTCATTTGTGTGTGTGTGTGTGTACGTGTATGAGCGATAAATGCCTGAACTGTACAATAGGCCATAAAAACATTTGATGTCCTCGTGTGCTCTACCCTTTTCATGGAAACCCAGCGGGGCATGTTCGTGAACCAAAGGATCAGTCGAGTCACCTGAGCTCACGTCTCCCTCGCACATGACGGCGTGAACTGAAGTGGCATGAATGAGTTACTTGGCCAAGGACAAGAGGGCTGAGCACTCTGGTGAGTGCGCCGAGGAGTGTGGACTATGGAGGGCTATAAAAACCTCCCGGCCCTGTGCTGCCCCAACATTTCTTAACGATTGGCAGGTAAATGGAGACTGATAAAGCAAACAGTTTAGATTATGATGAATGCGGGTGTGTTGAAGGGTGGAGCTGAGCTGGTGGAGTAAGGATGCTGTCAGCATGCGCAGGGATCTCCAGCTTCTGATTTCACAGAGTAACAGTCCATCTCTCCCTGCCACATCTTTTTTTTTGTACTCCTCTCTTGTTGAAAGCTTCTCGGGATATCAACCCACCCCGCCGTCTCCCCTCTCTTCTCCCGTTGCCGTGGAAACACGTGAATGAGTGACTCATCCCCCGCCCTTCTATTCCTCCTGGCAAGGTCAGCATGAGGACCGCACACTCTGGCAGGACAACCTGTGCCATTTTTTACCCCAAAGTTTTTATAGATCAGTTTGTCATGTGATGATGATAATGCGTCGAGAGACCCCTGTTGCTGTTAGACAAATGATGGCTGGCTTTCACCGCTCGCGGTTAACTGAGTCCATCTAATCCATGAGGATAGTGACAGTGCTAGTAGGCTGATTGTGGTCATTTGAATTGAAATGAAAAGCAATTTCTGGTTATTTGGTAACTATTTTGATTGAAAATCAATCAGTCAACATTTAAAACAATGCTAATCAATCTCACACCTGATGACATCATTGCTTCTATCTCTGACCTCGGAAAGCTTCTTCCAAGAGAAGTTTGCATGTTATGTTACGCTGCAGTACATACAGCTTATTTTATAATTTGCCCCGTGTAATATAAAGCAGCACTTTGAACGATTCCATGACTTAAGGCTTTGTCATTATTTCCCTACTCCTCACTCCTTGCAGTTTAGGGAACTGCTGGAGTACTCAATACTTTATTAAACACTCTAAGCATGAACAGTGGCCATTATCACTACAGGAGTCTTAGTCATGGAGTAAAATTTGTGAAAATCCATAATGAAAATATCAAAATGTTACTGATTTGATCTTAAACTTTACAGTCTTGTGGGTCTTTGCACTCAACACGATACTCAAATACACAGCAAAGCAGCTTTCTATTACTACTTTTCCTCAAAAGTGTCACGGTGCAGTATTCAGCTGTAATCACAAAGAATGGTAAATTCCCGTGCAAAGGTTCCTGCATTTTACAGGAGTAAGGAGTCAAATAACTGAACTAAAAGTTAAAGTGGCTGGAGAAATGTCTTTAACCCTTTATCTGATGAACCATATATGGTAAGCTGATTGAAAGAAGTAATATGATCCAGTATCACTGTAGGGTTGAAATTTTGAGTGTGTATTTTGGTGTGTGTGTGTGTGTGTGTGCATTATAATGGGCTAAAGGTGCATTTTCCAGTCAATCCTAACTAAATTACAGCTGCAGGCTCAGATCAGTCACATGAGCCTAAAAACTGCATGCACCAATCATCAGAGATGAGTTAAAGTGACAACATCAAGATTGCTGCAGAAAATTGACTACAGAAAAATGATGATAGCTTCAGTGATTAACGACTGCAGGGGCAAAGGGCAGGAGACTGTTACAGGGCAGACTCAATTACAATATCAGTTTAGTTTGTGGTGTCTACCTGTGTTCAGCTGTTTCCAGGTGTCATGTGAGGTTGCTCTGTAGAGAGTGTGTTTGCCTGTTTTAATCATTTTAAGCATGATGGAGACTTAACACCCTTTTTGATTAACTACTGTATGTGTTGGCAACATTTCTGCCTTGCTTTTAGAGTCACACAAATGATCATCATTATCATAAAGTTGTAAACTACATTCCTCAAATCTGGAATTTGATCCCAGTGCAGCTTTTTTTTACCCTGCTCATAACTGAAGAGCAGGTGGCTGTATACTCTGATTTTCTCTGCAGTGCTTAGACCCCGTCCCTGTTTGTCATATTCTCATTTTTACACACTTTTCATACAGTCTCAGACCCTCAGACATTCAACATAAAGATTCGTCGCTGTGCTGTCAGACAACATGCACCACATGTCATTCCCACGCAACAGCAGTGACACTCACCAATAATAATACCGCAGGCGCTCACCAGCCCGATCTCCTTCTTGAGCGCAACACCTCCTCCCGACTCCTTCACAGCGGCACCATCCTTGGCAGATCCCGCCGTGCTGCTGCGTTGTCTTGGGCCGTCCGTCATCTTATTAGATGGACGATTTTATTTCGTTTCAAATGTCTTTTTTATGCACTTGATGTTGCCCGTGCGCTTGGAGTGCTTGAGCGCAAGCGTCTTCCTTGTGCGTCTTCCTTGTGCGTACAGGAAACGTGCCCGGCTTATCTGATAAAGGACGTTTATCGTTGCTGCGCTGTCCGCAACTTGAATAATTTGTCAGATTAAGAAAAAAATCTCTATATTAAAAAGCATAAGGTCAGCAAAAAATG